CACTACGCACACCACACACCCCACACACCCCACACACACACCACACACACCACACACACAATACACCACACACACCACCCACACCACCCATACTGCACACACCACACACACCACACACACTACACACGCGCCACCCACAGCAACCACACCACCCACACCACCCACGCCCCACACGCCACACACACCGCACACCACGCATGCCGCACACACTACACACCCGCCACCCACACCACACACACCACCCACACCACCCACACCACCCACGAAACACACGCCACACACACCTTAGGCGCCGGTCACACATGCATGGCGCTTTTGCGACACCACCAAAGCTGCACCACAAAAGTTGGGATATCCCCGGATCACCATGGATACTGCGCCTGGCGCCACTGGCGCCACGGCGGCCATCTCAAAAGCGCCACAACCAAAAAATTGGTGGCGAAACACAAAAGCGGTAGTGCAACTTTTGCGGCGTTGTCGTTGTTGGATCTCTTGGATCTTGGAAAAATTAGTTTTTCATCTCTCGTCATGAAGTGGACTGCTGACCAAGAGCAACTGCTCCTCTCCCTCTATTACGAGGTTAAGACAAGACACCATGACACCTGAGTCGAGTCCCATCCGACATGGGACTCGACTCAGGCGTCCACCGATGCTCAAGGAGCTTCCGCAAGATTCAAACGAAGAGAAATTGAACAACATGAATATTGAGGCAATCTCCATAGCTCTCCGCAGTCGCTGGTCACGACGTAGTCGGCGATTCTGGGCGTTTATGCGATCCATACCAGCGCAGGAAAGGAAAGACAACAGTGATAGGAATTAAAAATGAAACAGCCAACTCAGTCAAAATGCAACAAAGCAGGTAACTTCCTGAAGAATTTTGAGGCTACAGTCTTTTTCAGAGAAAAGTTTTACGACACCTGTGGAGACCCGTGAAGCTGCGTGCGTACCAAAGCCTTTGCATGTGTGACCGCCGGCAGAAAAGAGCCGCAAAAGCGCCCACTGCCAGCGTGTTGGAGGCAGCCGCAAAAGCGGTGTCGCCGCCTGCATGTGTGACCGGCACCTTACACACCACACACACCACACACACCACACAGGCGCGTGCCCCGTATTGGTTCCTGGGTGCCGGGAACATCCTTTTTTCGCTCAAGATGCAGAATTTTACTTCATTTTTTGGAAATATTCCCGGGGGACGTACCCCGGAACCCCCCCCCCCCTCCTCGTTGAAGGGCACCGGCGCACGCGCCTGCCATACATACCACCCACACCACCCATACTGCCCACACCACACACCGTTTGGACCATTTGACGCCCGTCGCCAGAGGCGATGATAGCGATGCTACAGGAGGAGCCATAGCAGCTGGTGCTGGCATTGCAACATTCAAAAGCTTGCAAGGCTGAAGAATTGACCGCCACTATTCAGCCTGGTATACACCACACAGCTATGAAGTGGCTTTTTCTGGCCAGTGACGCCCTACTTATTGGTCTTTTTTCATTTTTTTCCTGCACACACATCACACCACATACTCCGGCATACACTGGCTGTTGGTAACCACCCAGGAGAATGAAAGAAACGTCAGGAGTCTGAGAAAGAGAAGAAAGACGTGTGTGACCATATTCGTTGGGAATCGAACCCACGACCTATCGATTGGAAATCGCTGCACATACCGCTGCACCATATGGGACCCAGAAGCTGATTTTTTGGAAGCAAGTTTCTATACTTCCAATGGGAGAATCCGATATCGCAGTGCTTTTCGGCGTGGCCAGGTCAAATTGTAGAATATCACATCGAGTGTATTGAGTGTACTTTATCTGAGAGAGGAGATGTTCGTGCCCTTGACACCCGAAATCCTGTTTCCATACGACACAATTTAGGAGCTCTTCGCTCAGCGCTTTTTTAGGGTAAATTTTGGGTTGTTCTGGTCGGGTCGCAGCGTCGCGGACTATTCCATCGTCTTCAGAGTCGAAAACCTACTGGCCATGTGAAATTACAAGGCGGTGAGACGCTTTGGTCTTCCTCTACGAGCGAATTTGTTCTGCGCCAGCATACCAAAGTATGCAATATCGTACCCGCATTTCGAGTGACGGGGAGTGTGCAGTGTACACTGCACTGCATGCACTGACCGTGCAGTCCTCTCAATTCTCCCACCACTCCCATTCATTTCGGTTTCCAGCGGAAGTCCAAATTGGCGCACTTCAAATCAGTATAACTCGAGAATGGCTGGTCCGATTTGATTATTGCTTACAGATTGCCGATGTACTATGCCTGGGAGAATCGAATGAGAACAATGAGAATCGAATGAGAACAAAATCGAAGCGATCGGGGCAAGTTTTGGAAATTGGGTGGAGTCACGAATACCACCCACACGGCCCACACCACACACGCCACACACACCACACACCCCACACACACCAGGGGCTTACACCGGTCGCCTCCTGAAGTGGTTCCCATGCCAACTGATCAACCAACATTCCACACAATTGCAAGTGCTCGTATACGTATCGGACGGAGTTTCTGCATAAATTGCTGGATAATGTCATGGCTACACATTTTTGATTAAAAAAAACTGAACTTTGCTAAGGTATTTTTATGGATGTTTTGTTCAGCGGAGCGAGCGATTTCATGCAGTCTTTTACTGGTTCACGGGCATCCTGGCAACCGCCCTATGTACGCCCCTGACCCACACGACACACACCACATATGCCACACACACCAGACACAAGACCCACACCACACACACCATACACACCACACACGCCACACACACCACCCACCCACACCACACACACACACCACACACGCCACACACACCACACCCACCTCCCACATCACACATACAAGACACACCACAAACCCCACACACGCCACACACACCACCCACACCACACACACCACACACGCCACACACGCCACACACACCACCCACACCACACACACACACACACACACACACACACACACACACACACACACACACACACACACACACACACACACACACACACACACACACACACACACACACACACTCACACACGCACACGCACACACACACACTGTACTGTACTGTACTTGCTCACTGCCAAAACTGGTCACGTGGGTCTCCCCGGGAGAGGGGAGAGAGACTCAAAAGGAATCTTGGAAGGATGATTCAATTGGCTATTGAACCACCCAACGGCCGACACCCCCTGAAATCCCCAAACTAGGGTGGACTTGAACTGATCCCACTTATGGGCTCACCACACCTCAGTAAGTGGGTGAGGACAAGGTGCAGAAAAAGGATTGACGGCATCAGGGTATCCGTCCCGGGATCCAACTACAGTTACTTGCCCCCCAGTGAAGGTAATACTTGCTACTAGTGTGGGTGGCTAAATCAGAGTGGATCTGGTATCAGCTTCACTAGCACCGTTCATTACACAAAAGTTAATCTAGCCAGAAGCAGTCGATGGTTAACAGGTATGTATACTTCAAGTAGAAAGTATATGAACCCTGAAACCAACAAAGGTGGTAGGTACAATAATACACCTTCAAGCAGCCGAGCCCGTTGGCAACAGACCCAACACTATCTGGCATAAGTGTACCCACCAACCGAAGTAGCTGGCACACACACACACACACACACACACACACCACACAACACACCATCCACACAACACACACCACCCACACCACCCACACCACACACACGCTACACACGCCAATCACACCACACACACCACACAGTCTTTTACTGGTTACCCAGGCATCCCGGGAACCGCCCTATGTACGCCCCTGACCCACACCACACACACCACACATGCCACACTCACCAGACACCAGACACAAGACCCTAACCAAACACACCACACACACAACACACACCACACACACCACATACACCACACACAGGCCACTCACGCCAATCACACCACACACACCACACACACGCCACAAACACCACACACACCACACATACACCACACATACACCACACACACCACCCACACCACACACACGCCACACACACCACACACACCACACACACGCCACTCACACCACACACACACCACACACACACCACACACACCACACACACCACACACACGCCACTCACACCACATTAACTACAACACACAGCAGCTTGCGGTTAGGAGGGTGCTGGCCAGCGAAGTGAGAGGCTACAGAGAGAGCAGGATCTTGGCGGAGCCAAGAGGATAGTCACGTCCAAGGGACGAAGACCGAGAGCCCTGAGTAGCCGGAAATGAGCATGGCCAACACCCCTTTATTTACTTTATCAAAGTAAATGAGAAATGGGAGGTGGGTGGGTGAAACACAATGAACTGACAAGAGTGATCCGCACACAGAACGAATCGAAATATATAACACTACGAGCAAGGAAGAATGATCGTCGCACAGAACGGATCGAGAATATATAGCAGAGCAAACTCTAGCAAGACATGCAACGATGCATGCCACCCACGTTGAGTTACAAGCAAGCGCCATCATAACACCGCCAAACCCACCCACTTTAAGTTACGAGCAAGCGTCATCATAACGCCGCCACACGCCTTCCACATCGGAGGCGAGCGACACGCATGAATGCCAAACTTTAGTATGACACTTTGAGTGCCTACGACGCATGCCGCCTACGTTGAGCGTCGCGCATGAATGAATGTCGCGTTGAGTGTCACGTTGTATGACACATAGAATGCCACGATGCATAGAGTACCATGTGAGCACGTACAGCGCACGTTCATAGCAGCATAGTTTGAGTGGTAGCACGAAGCAGCCGCGTGCACCCATTAATCTGCATTATCACTATAATGCTACACACACCACACACACCACACACACTACACACACCACACACACCACACACGCCACACCCGCCACACACACGCCACACACACCACACGCACGCCACACACACACCACACACACCACCCACACCACACACACGCCACTCACGCCACACACACCACACGCACGCCACACACACACCACACGCACGCCACACACACCTGTAACGAATTTATGTTACGACTATGATTTACGCATGTCGTTGTATTTGGTTCTTGTCTTGTGGAGTCCAGTGTCTGATGTCATATATGGTCTAGGTGTACGCGTGAGCATGGTGTGATGTGTGACGTTTATGGTATGTGGTGCATGCAGGAGTACGCGTTGTCAGAGTGTGAGGATGTGCTTCCGTCTGTGTGAGAGTGACTGTCAAGTGAATGCAGTACATGCGCAGTGCTAGTTTGGTCTGGGAATGAGAGTCGTGTGTGATTCGTCCGTGGTCTGGTTGTCTTGGTCTTGGTCATGTGTTCTGTACGTATTAGTCCCTGATTGGTCGTCACGATTTGTCCTCGGTTTATTACTGCTTGTTCTTTGTTGGTCCTCTGAGTCTTTTCCCGGGAGTCTTTCCTGTTGTCCTTCCTGTCGTCTCCAAGTTTCGTCTTTCTCCTCCTGTGCCCTTTCCGTTTGTATAAGAAGTCAGAAACTCCACCAAGTTGTTTGAGCTGTTGTGTGACAGGGGCCAGGGGGAGAAGGCAATACTATTTCCTTTACATTGGCGCCCAACGTTCGCTCGACGCAGGGTACTATCTCTGCAGCCCACGACCCTGGGATCGTTTTGTTTTCACGGCCATGGAGATGGAAAGGCGTTCGCCAGCCTGGCCTGCAGGCCCCTTACCCGGTGAGTCGCTCCCAGTAGAGGGTTTGGTTGTTGTCGTATATTCGTTGTGGTCCCGTCGCCTCACTCAATAGTGCTTGAGCATCATGTCGACGTACTGGGGGTGGTGCCTCTTGGCAAGTTGCGCTTTATCTTTTCGCGCTATCGTTCCGATACCATCAGTCTTTGTGACGGCGATCCGGCTCTTGTGTCTTTCTGTTTTCGTTTTTGCAGTCAGTGTGCGTATATTTGCTGGGGTTTGTGCAGTTTTCTTGATTAGCCTTTCAGTGTGGTTGTGTAACTGTTTGGTTTGTAAGCTTGGTTCGGTTTTGAAGTTGCCACACACGTATTCCTGTGATGGTTTGTACCTGCTCGGTTATCATAGTTCATAGCATATTTCATGGCATGGGTTTTGTTTCGGTCGTGAGCGTCTCTATTTTTTGTGTCCACTGGCGGGTCTCTCCAGTTCGCCGTGGTTGGCGTCCGATCATGGTGAGCCACGGCCTACCCGGTGGGCTGGAGGGATCCCTGGATTGTACTGGTTCACCTTGCGGGTGCTGCGGCCGTGGTTCATTTTTTTCTGGTGGGTAACTTGAAGGGTTTTTGGCAGGCGGGGTCCCTGCGTCTTCAAGTCCCGGGTTTTTTCTCTATAATATTATTTGCGTATTGGTGACCAGTTGTTTGTTTTGTTCCTGCTGTCCTCACCTTGTACTGAACTGATGCTGCTTTACCTGTGTTTCTTTTTTGCCCTGCTTGGCGCACCATACTTGGAACAACAACCGACTGGCCAAGCCGTACAAGGTTGCCATACGCGGATTTCTCCAAGATTCTGCACGGCTTCCTATTCCAACTCGGATCACGCATCTCTGGCCACAACATTCCGATGTCTTATCGTTTGGTTGTGTTTCCCCTTGTTTCTTTTCTCTGATCTTTGTCCTTTGTTCTGAGAGTCGAGGTCGACTCTCGCCGGAGGGGAAGGCTGTGTAACGAATTTATGTTACGACTATGATTTACGCATGTCGTTGTATTTGGTTCTTGTCTTGTGGAGTCCAGTGTCTGATGTCATATATGGTCTAGGTGTACGCGTGAGCATGGTGTGATGTGTGACGTTTATGGTATGTGGTGCATGCAGGAGTACGCGTTGTCAGAGTGTGAGGATGTGCTTCCGTCTGTGTGAGAGTGACTGTCAAGTGAATGCAGTACATGCGCAGTGCTAGTTTGGTCTGGGAATGAGAGTCGTGTGTGATTCGTCCGTGGTCTGGTTGTCTTGGTCTTGGTCATGTGTTCTGTACGTATTAGTCCCTGATTGGTCGTCACGATTTGTCCTCGGTTTATTACTGCTTGTTCTTTGTTGGTCCTCTGAGTCTTTTCCCGGGAGTCTTTCCTGTTGTCCTTCCTGTCGTCTCCAAGTTTCGTCTTTCTCCTCCTGTGCCCTTTCCGTTTGTATAAGAAGTCAGAAACTCCACCAAGTTGTTTGAGCTGTTGTGTGACAGGGGCCAGGGGGAGAAGGCAATACTATTTCCTTTACACACCACCCACACCACACACACGCTACTCACGCCACACACCACACACACACCACACACACCACACACACCACACACGCCACACACACCACACACGCCACACCCGCCACACACACGCCACACACACCACACGCACGCCGCACACACGCCACACACGCCACACACACGCAACACACGCCACTCACGCCACACACGCCACACACACCACACACACGCCACACACACCACACACACGCCACACACACCACACACACGCCACACACACCACACACACGCCACACACAACACTCACACCACACACACGCCACACACGCCACACACACGCAACACACGCCACTCACGCCACACACGCCACACACACCACACACACACCACATCCGCCACACACACCACACACACGCCACACACACCACACACACGCCACATCCGCCACACACACCACACACACGCCACACACACCACACACACGCCACTCACGCCACACACGCCACACACACCACACACACCACACACACCACACACACCACACACACGCCACACACACCACACACACGCCACATCCGCCACACACACCACACGCACGCCGCACACACGCCACACACGCCACACACACGCAACACATGCCACTCACGCCACACACGCCACACACACCACACACACGCCACATCCGCCACACACACCACACACACGCCACACACACCACACACACACCACACACACCACACACACGCCACACACACCACACACACCAAACACACCACACACACACCACACCCGGTATCCCGGGAACTGCCCTATGTACGCCCCTGACCCACACCACACACACCACACATGCCACACTCACCACACACACAACACACACCGCACACACCACACACACCACACACATAAGTACTGAACGGCTTGTGCCAACCTTCAATACGTTGACAGAGTCTGGTGCCACCGGCTCAGGGTCGTCCTTGACCGAGGTTGAGAGGTGCAGCATTCTGTGAGATGAACTCAGATGTGGCCCCACCAATGACAAGTAGACCAAGTAATAGTAGTACTTGATGGATTGATGACAGGAGCTGAAGAGGTGAGATTCGGGGCTACTACAGTCTTACGACAGAGAAACCGTAAGCAAGGCCGTTGCATACATAATTGACGAATTGCTGATCCGGATGTGAAGCAAGCATTGAGGCAAAACGGGAAACGTGCAGAGGCGTATGAACAGAATGTACAGTATTATGCAGTGTGCGGTGGATGGTGGCCTTAGTGTCGCGCTGGACACTGAAGGCTGGCATGATGTTGGCAGCCCTATTGCTTGGGTTTACCACCCGCCCCCGAGCTGGTGGTGTTACCCGTACAGTGGGAAGCTGGGTTGCGACCCCGGCAGATCTGGCAGATGTGGGACACGGAGCAAGGGTCGAAGCACCGACCCGCATTGAAATTGCGGCAGACCGACTGTCCTGGGGAGGCTGAGCCCTTGGAGTTACTAGCGAAGCCGGAAAACTGTTGGTAGGACTGTTGGTAGGGACGAAAAGGACAGCGTCCATTAGCAGAAGGCAGATGTGCAGCGCCGCATGCCATGCAGGCAGACCAAGCGCGTCCTGTTGTCGCCAGCTGCCACAGGTTTGGGTCGATAATGTCCCACTTCAGCGACGGGTCGGCAGCAGCCTTGATGCGGAACTTCCTGTCATACTCCAACCACCCTTCAGGCGTGAATCTGCGATTAGCCTCGAGGATGAGGCCCTGGTAACACAGCTACTACGCTGACCTGTGCGGGCCACGTCGACAATAACCTGGCTCATGATCGTGTAGGCTTCCACCCACGTCGCAAGGTCGTGAACGTGCCTGCTCTTCCCGCGGGCAGCGCCGTCCTCGACCACCCGCAACGGGCCCCCATCCCACGACTCAAAACGGAGCACGTTCTGTGTGCGGGCGTGTGGCACAGAGCAAGACACAGAGGGCAAGAGCTCACTCAATTCCACGAACTCACCCATCAAAATCCGCTCGCGATGTTTAGCTCCCAGGTGGGCGGCGAACGACTTGCTGCTACCTGAGCTGGCTGGGGGAGGAGTCGAGTTCGTATGACTATGAGGCAGAGAATCGGGAACCATGACCGCCAGAAGTGTTGGCAAAGTCTCCGACACCACCGATACTATGGTGGAGCGGATTGTGTCGGGAGTTATCGCCGACGTCGGGGGCACAGACGGCGCCAACGACTCGCGTTCTCTGTTGCCTGCTCCGCTCGCCGTGCTCGCTGCAGACTCGCAGGGATCAGCGTGATGAACTTGGGCCTGAATCAGGCGATCAACGAGGGCAGCCTTCCGGCCCGAAGTATCCAAATCCAACAGCGAGAGTTTGCTGCGGAGACGCGGAACCGTCATGGCGCGGATTTCATCGTCAGTATAGGCAGCCATGGCGTCGCGAAGACAAGGCGGCGAGGAGCGAATAAACTCACAAACTGTGAAACACTACGAGCGAGCAGGAAAGTCACGAACTCTAAAGCACTACGAGCAAGCAAGAAACTCACAAACGAGTCAAAGCTCACAAACGTGTCAAAGCTCACAAACGAGTCAAAGCTCACAAACGAGTCAAAGTTCACAAACGAGTCAAAGCTCACAAACGAGCCAAAGCTCACAAACGAGTCAATAAAACACAATGACCTGACAAGAGTGATCCGCACACAGAACGAATCGAAATATATAACACTACGAGCAAGGAAGAATGATCGTCGCACAGAACGGATCGAAAATATATAGCAGAGCAAACTCTAGCAAGACATGCAACGATGCATGCCGCCCACGTTGAGTTACAAGCAAGCGCCATCATAACACTGCCAAACCCACCCACGTTAAGCTTTGAGCAAGCGTCATCATAACGCCGCCACACGCCTTCCACATCGGAGGCGAGCGACACGCATGAATGCCAAACTTTAGTATGACACGTTGAGTGCCTACGACGCATGCCGCCTACGTTGAGCGTCGCGCATGAATGAATGTCGCGTTGAGTGTCACGTTGTATGACACATATAATGCCACGATGCATAGAGTACCATGTGAGCACATACAGCGCACGTTCATAGCAGCATAGTTTGAGTGGTAGCACGAAGCAGCCGCGTGCACCCATTAATCTGCATTATCACTATAATGCTACACACACACCACACACACGCCACACATGCCACACACGCCACACCCGCCACACACACCACACGCACGCCACACACACACCACACACACCGACCACTCCACACACACGCCACACACACAACACACACGCCACTCACTCCACACACACCACACACAAGCCACTCACACCACACACACCACACACACCACACACGCCACACCCGCCGCACACACCCAATACACACCACATGCACGCCACACACACGCAACAAACGCCACACACACGCCACACACGCCACTCACGCCACACACGCCACACACACCACACACACGCCACACACACCACACACACGCCACACACAACACACACACCCCACACACACCACACACACGCCACACACACCACACACACGTCACACATGCCACACACACCACACACACGCCACACACACCACACACACGCCACACACGCCACACACACCACACGCACGCAACACACACGCCACACACGCCACACACGCCACTCACGCCACTCACGCCACACACACGACACACACGCCACATTCGCCACACACACCACACACACGCCACACACACCACACACACCACACACACGCCACACCACCCACAAAACACACACCACACACACACCACACACACACCACACACAACACACACACCACACACACCACACAACACACATCACACACAACACACACAACACACATCACACACACCACACACACCACACACACGCCACTCACGCCACACACACCACACACACCACACACACACACACCACACACACCACACACCACACACACCACACACACGCCACTCACACCACACACACCACACACACGCCACACCTGCCACACACGCCACACACGCCACACCCGCGTCACACACGCCACACACACCACACGCACGCCACACACACACCACACACACCACCAACACCACACACACGCCACTCACACCACACACACCACACACACCACACACGTCACACACGTCACACACGCCACACACACGCCACATCCGCCACACACACCACACACACGCCACACACACGCCACAAAAAACACACACACCACACACACGCCACATATGCCACATACACCACACACACGGCACACACGCCGCACACACCACACACACGCCACACACACCACACACACGCCACACACACGCCACACACACCAAACGCACACCACACACGCCACACACACGCCACACACGCCACACACGCCACACACACCACACACACGCCACATCCGCCACACACACCACACACACGCCACACACACCACACACACGCCACACACAACACACACACCACACACACGTCACACACGCCACACACACCACACACACCACCCACACCACACACACACCACACACACACCACACACACGCCACACACAACACACACACACCACACACACCACCCACACCACACACACGCCACACACGCCACTCACGCCACACACGCCACACACACCACACACACGCCACATCCGCCACACACACCACACACACGCCACTAACACCACACACACCACACACACGCCACACACACCACACACACACCACACACACGCCACTCACACCACACACACCACACACACCACACACACCACACACGCCACACACGCCACACACGCCACACCCGCCACACACACGCCACACACACCACACGCACGCCACACACACGCCACACACACGCCACACACACGCCACACACGCCACTCACGCCACACACGCCACACACACCACACACACGCCACATCCGCCACACACACCACCCACACCACACACACACC